TCTCAGAGCAATGTTACCCAAATACAAAACAAGCTACAGACTTCATTAACATTAACTAGACATAAATGCCTTCAGGTAGAAAAGCATCATTTACTACAAGGCTTTCTGTTGTTTGGAATATGGAGTACTGAATGCAAACGCTACATAATAAAAAAGAATATTCAAAAAATAAAATGTCTCTCACACACATACCCTTCCCTGCAACAACACACGCCTTCTAACATGAACCAACATGGGACAATTTCTTGTGAACTAAACCTCAATAGTAATTTTGTAGCTTCATTCATAAGATAACTTTTGACATGTCACAGAACAGATAGATAAAACTCATCCCTAACCATAACAATTCAGTAAAGTCTTAGATAGTGCTCCTTAGCCCACAATTCTGACCAGGACAAAACTTAAGAGCATTTCTACAAATCTCCTAAAGTTTCTTCCTTTACTCCCTCCTGTCTTCCCCTTTCTTGGTCCTTCTGTTTGCACTGATTCCCACTATATACAGTACTGGCTCCAGTAGTGGAGTCATGGGGAGAGCATGGTTTGTAAAATCTGTCATGACAGCAAAACTGTAGTTAAACCCTGGAACACTTGAATTTTTGAACCTTGTTCAAAATCTTGAACAAGGGAGGCCAAAGTGCCATCTGTGGGTCACATGTGAACCCACCAACACCCCCAAGACTCCCCCACACAAAATGGTAGCACTCCCAGAAGCCTTGATGAACACAATTTGGCATTTAAAAGCTACTTCTTCCTCCAAGCCTGTAATTGTCTTTTAAAAAATAAAGAGGTGATTGTCCAGTCATATACTATTTCTAAATAGGCTTTTACCTAGCACAGAACTGGCAAAGTAAGGAGAAATATTAGTAAAATAGTGGGACCTACTAAGGACACAATTTTTCTTTGCTAGAAAAGCTCAGCAGGAGGACATGGCCTGATGGGGGGGGGGAGAATCAGCATTGGGCATTTTGAAGTTGGACACCCCCTATTTGCTTGGGAAGTTGGACACCCCCTCTTTGCAGGACATCCATCCCTGACTAAGTGGTGTAAGCACATTTCTCAAACCTGACATTTAAAAAACAATGAGTGTCTCCTTTATATTTATCCACATGAATACACAGTAATTTTAAATAATAAACTCCTTTCTATAATATTTTTCTAATGCAAGAAATGCAGCACTTTACTTGCTACACTATTCATAAAGACATAGACGTTTACAAATAAAAAGATAAGAGTTGTTACAACTTCATTGTTTTGGGAGGAAAATCTGTAAAATATCACATATTTCATCCTTCCATTACATGTTGTTGAAGAAATGGAACCGATTTCTGGTTATATTGAATTCAAGATAATAAGCAAGTTTCAGTGTTAACCATAAAAATTATCTCCATCTCGGTGTTGGCTTTCAGAACGGAATTATATCTATGGAAAAGGTATCTGATAAGACTGAGCAAAATGTTTTGTAGAATATGCAAACTGTTTTTAGTCTTTAAATACCCATTAATCACAGAAAATGTCAAAAGAGGGTGTGTTTTTTAAAAAAAACAAAAAAGTCCTAAAATACATATTCTGTTTCAACAGTGTATTCATCTCTCATGCTCACAGATTTCTAAAGAAGCATTTTAAAATTTATTTGCAGCTATCCGGGAATCAACCATAAATAAAACAGCTGATAACAGTTCAGTACTTTGGCAGGCAGTAAAGACCATTCCAAGACAATTCTATCTCCCCCTGTCCAATTGGATTCCTGATGCCAGAATAGACATCTGTACACACTATACTGTAACAAAAAAGGAAGGAAAAAAGAAAAGCTATTAATATAAATGTGTATACAGCAAATCATGATTTGACAGCCATTTTATGTATGTCTTAGAAAGTGACTGCCTATTGTGATCTATTCAGTGTCAAAAGGGAAACATGCCAAAATATATTCTACCTTCATAATAAGAAATATGAGCAAGTATCCATTAAAACATGCACGTTATAATCTTACCCATTTGACAGATTAAATTAATAGTGAAAAATGTAGTCTGGAACTAAAATCAATATGAAACCAAATTCACTACTGTCAGCCTGTATGACACAGATCTGACATACACTTATCACTGAAAATGGACACACTACCAGCTACCGCATCTTGGTTCTCAATTTCTGGTTTCAATTTTTTTTTTCCAAAATGCCCTTTCATTTAAAAATACCACATACATCAATCCCAGTTTTCCCAATATGTTACCATATCTATAAAAATAGCAGCAGAGTTTTAATCATTATTTTTTCTAAAAAAAACAGTACAAACATCATTTCATCATTTCCTCCCCAGATTTTTCCATGTACTTATTTATTCTTTAACACAGGGCTTACTGTAGAATTCTATGGGGCTATAGAAAGGACAGCAGCATTGTTTCCCTTAAACTACCTCTTGCCACTTCTAGTAAATACACCTTTATTTGTATGTCTTTCTCTTATACTGTAAGAAACTACATTCTGTACGTTTCATAGTATTCTGTACGTTTCATAGTATTCAGAGGCAGAAGTAAGTTTCTTCTCCTCCACCACTACATTTCCAGATACACACTCACTGACACAGAATGTGGTGTTGAATATGTATGCAAGTCTCCTATCAGCTTATGGCAACCCCATGAATTTCATAGGACTTTCTTAGGCAAAGAATATTCAGAGGTGGTTTTGCCAGTCACTTCCTCTGAAATATAGCACATAGCACCTGCTATCTGTTGGTGGTGTCCCATTCATGTACTAACCCAGCTGACCTTATTAGCTTCCAAGATCACACAGGATCTGGTCTAGCAGAAACGGGGCCTTCTCTCTCTCTTCCACCTAACTACTTACAACACACTGCTTGAGGCTAGAGCCTGGAAATACACTTCTCAGGGCAAAGATAACTATGATAGATCCAGCATGTAACAACAGACATGAGAAAACGACTTTGAAAATTTGTTCCCACAGTACATCTAGCATATTTCTCTCATGTTAATACCAAAAACTATAACTTTGTAATACCATCTGCCCAGTGAATATTACAGGGTTCCAAGAAGAACATAGATGATATTGTAGTGAAAACTTTGAAATTAAGAGATTTTAGAATGTATTAATTTTCCATTTTTAATACATTAAATAACCTGAGAATATTTTGTTGAGGCAGCAAATGTCAAGCTTTGAGCCTGCAAATGTTGGACTAGTAGACCAATGACCAATGGGAACTTCAGAGAGGGTTATATGACTGATTCACAGAGGCCAATTGATGTGCAAGATGTTGGATTTTTTTAAAAAAAAATGTTTCAACTGTTTCCATACTATGGCTCACAAAGCTAGGCATGTATAGGTTAAAATTAATCAAGGTTTAGGTGTAATTGACCATACATTCAAGACATCTGGAGAATGTATTTTGTCAAGGGGAAGGGCATGTGTTAAATGCAGAAGGTCTAAAGCTCAATCCTAGCACCTGAATTAGGGATGGAGAACGGTTTTTATAAACCAGGAGGTTTGCTATCAGTAAAAAACTGGATAGAACAGTAGTCTGCCTTGGTATTATCTACACTGGTGGTACTGCAGCATAGCTAATGTCAAGGAAAGAGTTCCTTCTGCTTGCAAGCACAGAGATACAGGGATTAAGGTGACAGGAACTAATTTAAATAACTGTCATAATCTTTTTCCTCATCTGCTGAATCATGCACAGGCTCCATTTTATCAGAAAAAAAGGTGGTGTAAAACCCGTAAAATCTTACTCCTAGTAAAGATTTGGTGTTATGCCAGCATACAACAAGATCTAAAAACTAGCTTTTAAAAACATATACTGATAGCTGAATTCAGCACATGTTGAATCAAAGGCATCCTGGTGTTTTAAAACTAAATAAGGTGTTTACTTCATTGGTGCGGCATTTTCTATCAACATGCAAAAAGGAAGGAATACTGATTTGCTCACAGAGGAATAGTGAGCATGAAAGAAATATGAATTATAGCAAACAAAGCTTCTGGTGGGAAAAACTCTAGAAATTGAGAATCTCATAACTGAGAGGAATGGGAACATCCTTTTGAAGTCCATTGTTAATTCTCATTTCTCATCCATTATTTAAGACCTCTTAGTTTTGTGAAGAAGAAAATGACAAAAAGCAGTGATGCCAAATGAATCTACAAGCATGCTGCAGTATTAACTAAACATTATTTTTGTTGTTGTGTTCATTCAAGTCATTTCTGATTTATGGTGACCCTAAGGTGTGTAGACTCTTACCAACAACTGGCTCAGCTTTTCTTTTTCAGGATCCTGTCTTCCTCAGTCAAGAAGACACATTGTAAGGTCCAAAAGCATAGCTTTATTAATGTATATAAAAAGTAAAAATAAAATAACTAAGTAAAATCCATTGTGATGAACTTGTCTAGTTCAGCCATGAAAGATTACATCTTTAACAATCCAAAAGCATTAGGATCTAACTTGTTATAGTTAAAACCACTGTTTTTAGCCACACACGTGCTCACATCTTAAACAATAAACAATTTTAGACAAAGGATTTTCTAAGCCCTTTCCATACTCCACCTTTTAGGTGTTAACCTTATTTTAATTGGATAATGTCTGTATGATGTCTACTAACCCAGCCTCTTGCTGTCCATCATCCACCACGTGACTATCTTTCCCAAGCTAACGATGTTTACGTATAATTGTTATCAAGACTTTCTCATAATAAAGTCTGTGTCCAAGAGTTGTATCTTTGGGAAAGTACATGTTGATGTCTGTGCAACCACCTGGTGTTGACTCACCTCGTTTCTCTAAATGTTGTTTGTGCTTTGCCCAAAAACTGTTCTCAAGTGGAAAATTACAGACACACACACATCTTTACATTTCACCTTTGACTGTATATCCCATCCATATCCTAACAAGGTGAATCTATAATGCGGTTTTCTCAGAAAGATTTGTTCAGAGGGGGTTTCCCTTTGCCTTTCTCAAAGGCTGAGAGAATATGACTTTTCCAAGCTCACCCAGTGGGTTTCCATGGCCGAGAAGGGATTCAAACCCTGGTCTCCAGAGTTGTAGTCCAGTGCTCAAGCCACTACACTACCCTAGCTCATCTAGTATTATTCATTTTGTAAAAGAAATGTTCTTATCTAAACTGAGAAGATGATCCAAAAATATTTAAAATGGTATATTTCTTCCTATGTTAGTGCATCAGTATTTAGAAACCACTTTGAAATACAGTAGTTAATGGTTTGGTGCTTGGCATAAATTTTGAATAGCTACTATGGTTATTTTTTATTCACACAACACATGATATTGCTTAATTAGATTATTACATTTTAACATTCCACAAAGGAATGATAAACAATTTTTGATGATGTAAGAACAGTGGGAAATAAAACTTCTACATTTACTGTTCCAATGTAATCAGCATGTTATTTTATTGTGCAGATGCTACATCACCAGATTATTATTACATTGTTCCATGTTAAAGTAGACAATTCAACAACATATGCTTGATAAGAAATTAACTCTCTTGTGGATTCAGAGCACTACTCTTTCCCACTAAATATATTTAAAAGGATATATGTTTAATTTCTACAGGAACCGTTGAAGATTAAATGAGCTTGTTCCTTTAAATTGTGGTATAACTATAGCTAAATCTTATCAAAAAGGGAGTTCTTGCATCCAACCTTTCAACGGAATAACTTTCTGGGCAGCTCACAGTGTTAAAAAGTGATTTTTAAAAACAAACAAACATCCCACTGCCACCTGAAGGACATTACATTTGATTTTGGTTTCCCTGAGGAAAGCACTGCTGGGTGAGAGGTCACAGCTGATAATGTTCTTCCCTCTTAACTTTCTACTCTCCTCATTTCTGATAATGTGGGGCACTTAACAGAAATGCACTCTTAGATTACTTTAGTGAATGAACAAGTTGGTGCAGGTAAAGTGAATGAACAAGTTGATGTCTTCGCTATAATTTTCAGGAGCAGGTTGACAAAATGATCAGAAATTACAGAAGTAGGAGACTTAACTTTTGTAACAGAGAGCAGCAGCAAAAACATCTCTTCCCCCACTGCCCTTTTAAACAGTTTTTGCCAAGAAATGTCAAAGGCAATTTCTCACATCTAATACCTGGATAAAAAGATGTTATATTACAATGTAATGTCCTTCGAAGTACATTGGTTAGTTTGCCATACCTTCCTCTGAAATATAGCCTATGGCCCCTGGTATTCCTTGGTGGTTTCCCTTCCAATACTAACAACGTCTGACCCTGCTTAGCTTCCAACAGTAGCAAACATCTGGTGCCTTCAGGATATTTAGGCATCCTTAGTAAAGAAGAATATGTAAATAACTTTTAAAAAGCAAACACATTGGCCGATGCATTGTAAACTCTTGTAATGAAGCAAATATCTGGGACATAACTTAAAAGACCATTTTTATTACCACTCTATTACACTTTGAGAGAGCCAGCGTGGTATAGTGGTTTGAGTGTTGGACTAAATCTCTGGAGACCAGGGTTTGATTCCCAGCTTGGCCGTGAAACCCACTGGGTGACCTTGAGCAAGTCACATGCTCTCAGCCTCAGGGGAAGGCAATGACAAACCTCCTCTGAACAATTCTTGCCAAGAAAACCCCATGACAGGGTTGCCTTCACCATAAGTTGGAAATGAAAGCACACAACACACGTGCCCAAACACACACACATACCAGTTGAATTTTAAGACAATGTATATTTATTCAAGTTTGATTTACTTATAATTAAAAACAAAATTCCTTTTCAGGGTGGAACACTGATGCTTGTATTTTGTTTTTGTTTGTTCAAAAGGGTATCATGTTTGCTTAGTTCTGTTTCAGTGCAATATTGTAACATTGGCTATGTGTAGGAAATTTCCTTTTAATTATCTTTAGTGGTATTGGAAAGATACTTCAAAGTTAGCATGATCTTTAGCGCTTTGTTTATTACTGAATTTTCCTTACCTAAGAAAACCCTATGAAATCAATGGGGTCATCATAGGTCGACAGGAAACTTAAAGACATGTACTTTACTTTACTTTACTTTACTAATGGGAGGGGTAAATATTTGAATAAAAATTCTCATTCCTGCCTACATTTTCTGTAACAAACATACAAAATGTTATGTCCTTTTGCTATATCAATTAATATATATTTCGCTTGGAATATAGTAGAATTTTTATATTACCTTAGAATGAATTTCAAAATATTTGATACTATAGCCCACTGATGCATATTTGATTTGTAATTGAAAAGAAGCTTTACAGTATTTCTTAAAATATTTATAAATTAAATTGCTGCTCACCAAAAAGCAACAAACAATGGAATCACAAGACAAATACAAAACAGAAATAAAATATTAAGTAAAAACAGACTAAAAAGACTCTTTAAAAGTCAATGTCATAGTGAAGTAATACATGTTTGACTGCTTGTAGAAAACTCAATAAGGATGCCTTAGCAACTATAAGGGGTGAAACACACAAGCAGAAAGGAGCGGCTTCTGGCCACTTTGGAGGTGTGCCGATTAGATGACACAGGCCTCCAAAGCAGCCAGAAGCCGCACCGAGGCTGCGCTCCGGTCCTTTGGACTGAAGCAAAAAAGGAGTCAAGTTAATCTGAGCAAGCATAACCCACCTTTTTGCACTCACTTCTGGCTGGAGCAGACTCAGGCCTCTCTTTCATGCCTGTCTGCTCTGGCTCTATGTTGTTATCACAAAAATGATCTAACCTATCATAATGGTTGGACACAAATAGGGCCTCTGTTAAAGATCTCAAATAAAAGTTCACACAAAAAGAGAGGGTCTTTCAGATATCTTGTTTCCAAGATATTTAGGGCATTATTTGTCAAAAACAAATTGGAATGCAGTTCAATTCATTCAAGTCCAGTGCTATATGGTCTCTAAAGTGCAAACTAGAAAACATCTCATCATTACATCTTGTTCTAGCTGTAGTTACCTAACATTTTTCAAGAGGAATCCCACATAAATTAGTAATTTAATTAAGACATAATTAAAATGTGGTTCACTGTGGCCAGATCCAACTTCTCTAAGCAGTCGCAGTTGAGGAAAGGCACTCCTGGCTACATTCACTTATGCTGTGTTGTACAGCAGAATTCTGCCCAACAGTACCTCCAAGCTAGAAGCCTGGACCTTCAGACCTCAGCATATATCTAATATATGTTGTAATCCCAGGATGGTAAAGTGGTTTGAGCATTGGACTATGACTCTGGAGATCAAGGTTCGATTCCCTGCTTAGCCATGAAAACCTTGGGTGAGTCACAAACTCTCAGCCCCAGAAAACCTTGTGACAGAGTCAACTTAGGGTTGCCCTAAGTCAGAAACAACTTGAAGGTACACAACAGCAACAACAGTCCCAATCCTAGGTTGCCTTTTCTGCTAACAGGCAGAACATCTGTGCTGTTGAGCCCCATTTGTTTATACACTTACAATTCCCCACTGCATCTAGATAGTGTTTTGGAAATTCTGTATTCTCCCGGGGATACTTCAGAAAGAGTGATTCTGAGAGAGTGATTTAGGGACTTTACAGACTGCCAGAAATAGTGCAACTTGAGGCCACTTTAATTGTCCTGGCTCAGTGCTAAGGAATCATGGGAACTGCAGTTCATTGTGGCACCAGAGCTCTCTGACAGAGAAGGCTCAATATCCCAGAAAAAAATATAATTCCCATGATTCCCTAGCACTGAGCCAGGACAGTTAAAGTGGCCTCAAACTGCACTATTTCTGGCAATCTGTAGAGGCCCTTAGTGCTAAATATCATCAGCACAGTGGTGACATGCAGCCCCAAGATCTAAATAATGTTTCCCAGTAGTTTCATATAAATGTTAAAAATTATAGATCACCTTCATCCTGGCTAGCAAAAACTGTATCAAGAGAGTGGAATGCTGGATATAAACTCAAATACATCCATGGTTATTCTGGAAGTCATAAAATGCTTAGCTGCTCCTCCTGAAAAAAAATCTCAACATGAATATTAAAATCTTCCAGCACAGCCAGTTTGAGTAAAATCAACACCACCTCCCAGATCACCTTCATTAGCTGAGACAAATAGCTGGGCAGTGACAGGGGCTGTTACCCAACAGAATCCCAATCCTGTGTTGTCCTGTTATAGTCAAATATTGGACATTTAGAGACAACTTGCCTCAACAGGAAGATGGATTAATCTTAAATAACTGAAACTCTACATCCCACACCATTGGATCTTGTCTGCTGCCGCCACAGCCACACAACTTGACAACCCCACCTTTGCCCAACCAGGTTTTAATCACAAGTCTGCTGGCTCATCCAAGATGAAATTCTATAAATCTAAGCTTATGCAGCTGCATACAAACACATCACATAGAGCTGGTGTTATACACCAGGACTTTTTGACCTGGTGATATTCTATTACAGCAGCTTACCTGGGAAGCTAAGCAGGGTCAGCCCCAACTAGTACTTGGATGGGAGGCTGCCAATGAATATCAAGTACTGTAAGCTATATTTCAGAGGAAGGACTAGCAAAACTACCTCCAAATATTCCTTGCCAAAGAAAACCCTATGAAATGCATGGGGTCACCATAAGTCAACAAGTGACTTGAAGGCATGCATGCATGTGCGCGCACACACACGCACACACACACACATTCTGCTAGGATGAATGATAAACAAGAAGGAGAAACAGCTACAGTATATCTCTCCTCCACTGAAATTTTCTATCTCCAACGCCATATCTCCCTCTACTAACTACAGTTTAAACCAGGGGTAGGCAACCTTTTTGAGCCATGGGCCGGGTTGCTGTCCCTCAGACAATTGGGGGGCCGAAGCACCCAAAATAAATAAATGAATAAATAAAAATATTTTTTTAAAAAAAATAAAAAAATATGCATGCACATTCTCTCAGCCCCAGAAAATCCATGGCAAAACCTCTGTGGATATTTTGCCAAGAAAACCCCAAAAATAAGTAATAACAACAATAATCAATATCATCATGGCAGGCGGTGGCGGCGGCGGCAGGACCAGCCTGGGGCCGGTCCAAAGGCCTCAGGGGGCCGTATCCGGCCCCCGGGCCTTAGGTTGCCTACCCCTGGTTTAAACA